CTTTCTTGCTACTCCTCACTTAAACACATGTAATTAACGATAATATTCAGGCCATTTGCTTTAGTTGTGATTTGATTTAATTGAGCTAAGAAGATAGGAGCATTCTATTTTTTTTATAATTCGTTACCGTATTTTTGCAACTTTTTGTAAACAAATATATACTGATGACTTCAGGTGTTTGTACTTTCTCTTGCTTATATTTGGAAGGTAACCTTAGCTGATAATCTCAAAGTGACAGATTTTTACTTACTAATAATGAACTTCAAAACTTTTTCAACATAATATAGAATACACATTCACTTTAAAAATTAAAATGTTTGTGTTTGAAATCTACCTTTTACCATGAGTCCTATATGTAAACATTAGTAATTTGAATCAAAATATTTTAAATGATCCAGTGTTAACATACTACTAACTTTGTATTTTTCCTTTATACTAGAAAGAAAGTAAACAAGAATCTGGTACATGTATTCCAGTCAAAACAACAGTTTTTTTTTTTTTTTTTTTTAAGAAAGTAAAAATACAATGATAGCAAATAGCATTTCATAATAATAAATGTTACTACTACACTGATAATATTAAATTTTTGTAGTATAAAATTTCCAGTATTTTCCTGTAAAAAAAAGCATATGTGAATTAATAGACTTATTTCAAGACAGTTCTTAAGCATTAGCCTTTCTTAATAAGCATATTATATAAGCATTGCCTTAGCTATAGGAATATAGTGGTATGGGATACTATAGGGCAGGTCTACAGGACAGGAAAAGAGGGACATGAACCACGGTTGGTATAATCATAGGTCACTTACAGACAGGATACATTGTCAGAAATATGTGTTTATTTTTGGTTTTGTGCAAGGATTATAGCATATACTTATACAAACTAAAATGGCTGCCATGTTACTAAGCAATACAGCGCCATGGGAGCACAATGGTATATACATTCATCATTGACTGAAACATTGTTATGTAGCACAGCATTTTGTAAATTTTTTAAATGACAGTCATATGGTAGTAAAACAAGTCTTGCTCTATTTTGGCACTATCATAAAATAGCTTATGATTAGGGAATGAATTTCAGTGCATCAAACCATTTAATAGTTTTTATTAGAAAATTTACTCTTCACTTGCTGTGAGGAAAAACTTTTATTTTTTAAATTTGCAACATATGAAGTCCTTTTCACACCTGACATTGTTGGATTTAGACTTAGCACTTGCTCCTGTTGGTTGGATCTTCTCAATTCTTAATGACAACATTTTCCTTCTTCCAGGTTTACGGAGTTCCTATGCTAGTCAACACAGTCAGCTTGGTCAAGACCTTCGTTCAACTGTGTCTCCTGACTTGCACATCACTCCTATATATGAGGGGAGAACCTATTACAGTCCAGTGTACCGCAGCCCAAACCATGGAACCGTGGAGCTCCAAGGATCTCAGACAGCATTGTACCGCACAGGTTCAGGTGGGCATCAGCTTCATGCAGCTGGTTTCCTTATTCCATTGACCCAAAATAGAAGGATTTTATTGAGATTGGATTAGAAAGAAATCGTGTTGTCCATTTAGTTGTCAAATAAGCAACTATGACAGCAAATCAATAAACAGTAAAACAGAAGTTCATTTAGTACCTATTTATGCTTTAATATATTTTTATCTTATCAATGAATGTAGTAATTATGCTGTTAATTTAGGAATAAATTTGTAAGGTTGTAAATCTGATTCTACTCAGGTTAGAAGCATGTCCGATACAGAGAGGAAAGCCTTTGGTGAAATATTTCTTTGTAATTTTTTTTTGCCTGGAACAAATATTTAGACAATCCATGCATGACTGACTTGGTTATCTTTGCTTTAGCATATATAGGGCCTACATATATTAGACTACTTCCTTTTTAGAAGTTGTATTTCCTCTGAATACTTAAATGTAGAATGTGAAATAAATATCTCTTGTGATGGATTCAAACCAGGACAGAATGCAGTAAAAGCAATCATAAAAGGTTGCTGAGGAATCATAACACACTCTTGTACCCCTACCCTCACATTTTTCTACACTGACAAATCCAAAGCTGTAGTCCATGATGGTGCAAGCTGCCAGACTGTGCTGCAGGACTGCCTCAGGGAGTCACAAGAGGCAGCTTCTTTCTTCTTAAAAAAAATTAAGATGTATTAATATGCCCACCACAAAAGAACTCCAGGTAGTAATGAAACTCCTCACACGCACCTTGAGGAGCTGTAGCTTCCTGAACACCAGAAGACTGTATTTATATGGGTTCTTTACTGTAAATTGACATTTTGCTCTATGGAAGGATTTTCTTTCTCATAGAATGAACCAATTTTTAATAGGTGTTAGTGAAGAAATACTCACTTGTTCTTGTGTTCTGTAAATAGGAAGTTCTTTAATAAGATTAAAGAAATAGGTAATGTTAATAATATGCAACTCAAGCTGACCTCGAGGTCACTCTGTATTCCATGCTGGCTTTGAACCTGCCATTTCTGTCTTGTCTCCTGAGGGCTGGGATTATAAGCATGCACCACCACACTCAAACAATAATCTTACTTTCAGGAAGAATCTTTATATAATCACTGGAGCAATACATGCTGCAATAAATGGGGCAGATATGTTAAATATAGTGGACAGTAACTTTGTATATAACTTCACACAATAAATTATGACAGTAGCTATGGAATAATTTGGGGTATCAGTTTTCCTTTTTGAGAAGTAGATTTTCCAATATAATCAATATTCATACCTCTAGAAATAAAGTGTATATCAAAGCAAGTGACCTGTGTACACTAAGTATTAAAAAGTTTGATGGTTTCAGTTATTTATAAATTTGAATAAATATCTGATTATTAAATCTTATCATTTATTTCTCAGATTCATTTCTTATATTTTCCTTGCAGTTTTAAGTAATTGAATCTGAGTAAGCAATTAAGACCTATTAATAGCAGATTTATAGCTTTATTTTCACTTTCCTGCTAATAAAATATTGTTCCTATAGTAAAAACTTAAGTACCTTTTTTAGCACTAATGTGCTAGGTTTGTAAAATCTATAAATAAACAATTTACATAATTACCAAAAACTGTAATCCTCCTTAAAATTTAAAAAAACGTTTTGACTTTTAAAAATGTGACCTTGTGGTGAAATACTATCTTTTTCAAAATGTTGACTTTCTTGCAGGTGTTGGAAATCTACAAAGGACATCCAGCCAACGAAGTAACCTTACATACCAAAGAAATAATTATGCTCTGAATACAGCAGCTACCTATGCGGAGCCCTACAGGCCAATACAATACCGAGTACAAGAGTGCAATTACAATAGGCTTCAGCACACAGCACCAGCTGATGATGGCACCACAAGATCCCCATCAATAGACAGCATTCAGAAAGACCCCAGGCAAGTGCCAGTTGGGAGTCTGCAATGCTACAGTATCTCAGGAATTAACCCGCTCCTCCATTCTGACTTTTCTAAGTGTTCAGTCCATGTAATATCACTAATTCCATATCTCCACTACTTCCAGTTGTGTTCCAGCTGTGTAGGTTATTGAGACTAATTTCATTTTCTTTAAAGATAGATTGCTTCTTTCCATGCTTAATTATAACTCAAGAGCATGCACAGAGCTGTGGGAATATCTGCAGAATTCATCGTTTAAATACTTTACCTAGGCAACTAACTAGGATAGTCTTTTTAGTCAGAATTAAGCAAAAGTTTCTGAAATATTATTTTACCTCTTTTTTTCCACATCCTGACTGGCTTCTTGGACAAGTTTCAGAAAATTCATTTATTATTTTAAACCAGAGAACATCAGTGTTGGATACATTTCAAATCAATGTTTTTATTAACCAGGTCCTTTGCAAAACTTTTTGCCATTTAGGAGAAAATAGCATACAAGAAATTCTCATTATCTCATGAGCAAAATATGTTTGTCAAATATTGGATGTTTCCTCTTTTTCACTTTGTTTGGCCATGTAGACAATACTTTTTAAGGTAAGCATGAGTCATTTAGTATTTGGTGGATTTTTAAAAACTGGCCTCATCTTTAATGAAAGAGAGAAATCATTACTAAGTTTTAAGCAGCTTTAGTGTTATTTTAAGGTATATATTAGCAAGATTTCATTCACTCTCCACCCATAGATAATTGTTTCACTGGAAAGTTGTTACAATTATCAATTTATTTTTAGCAACCTACCAACTTATTTTAATGTATGTGAACTGAAATGACTGCAGTTTTCGTTATTAAAACAAAGTAACTAAAGGTACACTAGAGTTGAATAGAGGCCCACTGCTTCACTAAAGCTATTTCACCAATTCACTTTTACGCCTAAAATTCTTTAAGGTTTATACATATACGTGGTTCTTCTATTCCTGACTTGCCACTTTTTTCATTTTAAGAATTTTTTTTAAAAAGAATTTGTCTAATAACACCTTCTATATAATCTTCATAGTACAAAGGATTAATGCACCCAAGTAGATGCAGAAATCCACAGAATTTTAAATTACAGATACTTTAGATTATACCTTACCTGAATCGGCAGAGAAAACAATAGCTACCTACAAAGGCAGTGAGGTGTGATTAGAGTTTTGAGTTTAATATATGCCCCTGAAGACTTCAGTTTTGACCTCTAACATGATTTACCATGTATAAGAATTTCTTCCTGTGTGATAATATACTTCAGCTATTCATGCTATGATAATTTCATAATCTAATGCATAAAACTGTTATGGCTAGCTTTGATTAAGTGAAACTTTACTGATAATGCATTTCATCTGATGAATAAACGATTATCTTACAATTATAGGCACTTTTATTTTAGATGAAACTGGTATCCAGATGAATTTGAAGTTTGAATATTCAAACCAAAATCAAAAGCTCATGACAACTGTTTTTCAGTTTTGCAAACAGCAACTCTAAATAATGTTTTTATTCATTTGTAAATCTTTTTTTTTTAACCATTAATGCTACATGGTAATTTGCCTGAAAAATTCTCTGTAAGACTGAGTCATTGATGTTTATGATATAAGAGGAAACCTATGGGGATTTTTTTATAGTTCTCAAACTGGAAGCCAAATTTATTAGTAGTGTAAATGATTTTTCTAAATAGAATAAAAGTATTTCCTGCACAAAGCAACAGTGACTTAGAATAAGTGTGTTCCTGGTGCTTCTGTGGTTCAGGGCCCAGTATGTGATGGACAACAGAATAATTCCATTTACCACCCCCTAACTTCAATGGTATCATCAAAACCCATAGTATGTATATGTGTTATTTACCTGTAGTGTTATGATCAGTTACCCTTTAAGCTCATAAAGAGATATGAAAATAAGGGGTTTTTTTTTATATTCACCAAATGTACTATTTAAATTTCTCTTTTTCCTTTGTTCAAGTTTCCATCTCAACTCATTTTCCTTCAGCCAAAAGAATTTCCTTTAATCTTCCTTATGTTGCTTGTCTACTTGCAAAGCATTCTCTCAACTTTAGTTTATCCATAAATACTTATATTTTACTCATTTTTAAAGGATATTTCTACTCAATATAAAATTCAGGATTTACAAAATTGGATTTTTTTTTCTGTCAGTACTTTTAAAAAATGCTGTTCTGCATCTTCAGACCTCTGTTGTTTTAATGAGCAATTGGACATTGTGCCTTTCTCATTATGTAAGGTCTTTTCTCTTTAGGTTTCTGCAATTTTATTCTTGTGAGCTTAAGTACAGTTCTCTTTGCATTTGATCTGTTTGGGGTTCACTGAGTCTTGGTATGTAGGTTGATGTTTGTTACCAAAATTAGGTAATTTTCAGCCATTATTTCTTCAAATTTTTTTCTGCCCAAAATTCTCTTTTCTTCTGGAACTACAGTTACACCTAGTATATCACTTTTATTAGTTCACAAATTACTTAACCTCTATTTTCTTTTTTTTTTTAATTTTTGGGTATTCTTCTCACTGGATTTTTTTTTTTTTAATCAATCTGCCTTCAAATGTACTGTCCTTTCTTCTGCAGCCTCCAATCTGCTATTAAGCCTATCCAGTGATTTTTTTGTTCCAAATACCATAATCCTTTTTTCATAGTTTCCATGTTTCTGATGAGGTTTTCCATCTATTCACTGCTTGTATACATCTTTTTCTTTAAGTCTTTGAGCACATTTATAATAATAATTTTAAATTCCTTTTCTGATAATTCCAACATCTGGGTTGTCCCTGATTACTTTTATTTTTAAGCATATCTTCGTAATTCTTATGTACCTGTTTATTCGCCTCTCTAGTAAGTTTAGATTATATGCTAGCTGTTGTGAATTGTTGTTTGAGTGCTGAGTTTTCCTGTGGCAGGTAATTAAATTACTGGAGATCTTTTTGATCCTGTCAACATTGGTTTTCTTTGTCTGTTTCAGATTCTTGTTGTGTGGCATAGTCCTTGCTTCTCAAACGTGGTCTTTGTGAAGTTTTAACTAAATTCCTGAGGTGCTTACAGGGTCTGCACTCTAACAAGGCTGGGAGTCTAGCATCATCTAGTGTGCATTTAGCTCACAGTCTCACAGCAAACACTCTCCATAAGACCTGTCTTTGTGCAAAGCCTGTGCTCAACTAAGGACCTCTGAATAATTCTCACATAGACATGTAGAATTAATTTTGCTAGCTCCTTCCTCTTTAGAACCCTGCCCTGTGCATTCTAACTACTTTAGCACTACCAAACTCCAGGGTCCGGCCCCCGCCCCCAGCTCATCAAGTCCGTTTTGTACCTGGGCTGAACCTCCTGCATAATGGTCTAGAAAGTGCCCTTATGTAGAAAGCCAGGTGTGTGTGAGTTTCCTTAGGTACTTCCCTCCTCAAGGAGGATGTTACTTGAAAAAAAAAAAATCAAAATATAAAGGAATCTATACATAGTATGATTGTGTATTCATTAGAAGGAAGTTTTTGTTTTGTTTTGTTTTGTTTTGTTTTGGTGGTATTGGGGTCTGAACTCAGGACTTCGCACATGAAAAGCAGACACTCTACAGCATGAGCCACAACTCCAGTCCAAGGCAAAAAAATAGTACACCATAGTGGTTGAAGGCAGAGTGCCTGTGTCCAGATGTTGCTGTACTGTTCACTAGCTGTGTGACCAGTTAGCCTTTCAGCCTTAACTTGCAATCTAGGAGGTTGCTGTAAGAATAAATGAATTAATATACATAAATGCTTGGGTAATACCTGACACAGAATAGGTACTCCTAACATATTAAGTGCTATTAAATAATAATCCAGTTTACTGAAAAAATATTCTGTGTCCACACATGGGCACCTTTGCGTGCATGAATATATAGAAAAAACTAGAAAATGTCAATGGTGGTTTCCTCTGGATATGGTCTTAATGATAAAATATTTTTCTTTTAATTGTCTTTGTTTCTGTCTTACAGTCAAGAACAACAATAAATGTTAAATTTCCTCAGAATCACTGTGCCTGCAGTATTTGTGATTAGTAGGCTGGCACCAGCTCTGTTCTTCCCCACCAGACCCTTCCTCTTGGGCATGACGTCTCACTTAGCTAACATACACTTGCTCACCTGTGCCTCATACCTGCAAATTTCTTCATGGGTAGAAAGGCATAAAATTAGAATCAGGAGGAGGAACACTGGAGTGGAAAAGTTGCCCATATTAAGAATTCCCTTTATTCCCCTGAATCCCTTTCTGTGCATTGATGTGTCATGATTTCTTAGATCATAAGCATCTTGGCCTCTGTGTATGTTCATCTGGGGGAAGAATTATTTATATTTTATTTTAAGATTTTTGAGACTTCCAGTTTTTGTCTCAGTTGAGCTTTTCCCTCCTATTACAAATGTGTCATTCAGCGTATCCTTTCTGAAGTCTTGTCTGTCTCATGTAGGGAGTTTGCCTGGCGTGATCCTGAGTTGCCTGAAGTCATTCATATGCTGCAGCACCAGTTCCCATCTGTTCAAGCAAATGCGGCAGCCTACCTGCAGCACTTGTGCTTCGGTGACAACAAAGTGAAGATGGAGGTACCAGACCCAATGCCTGGAATATGTGCTTGACACTTAACAGCCACATGATTACTATTTAATTCCCCAGGGCTGGGGATATAGTGTGGTGGTAGAGTATGCATCTGTGAAGCAGGTCCTGGATTCAGTCCCCAGAACCGTGAAAGAAAAAGATTTTTAAAATTACTAGATGCCTTTTTGAAGGGATATTTTTATTCCATTTACTCTTACTTTTTAACTATGTGTTTCGTATCTCTCAGGAAAAACTCAGATGATATTTCCTAGAGAGCTTTCAGCTTTGTCAAATCATGCATCCACTTCATTACCTTTTTACAAAACATGAAGCAAAAAAATCAATTTAACCTGCATTTTAAAAAATATTTTCAAAAGAAAAAAAATTAATAGGTAAAAAAATATAGCATTCACCAAATTAGGAAGCTAATATATTTCATGATATTCTGGTCAAGATAAGTTTTTATATAATTTTAGAAATATCAAGCTGTTGGTTATTGGTTAGTGTTCTATAGCATACAGATTATTTTACCGTTTTAGGACTTTGCCCTCCTGCAATGTCATATACAAGTAGTGTTTTTTATCATTGATATGCAAAACAGCATACCAGCTGTTGACATAAGGGTGGATGTCCTGAATAAAGCCCAGAAACATACAAGTAAATTACTAATGAATTAACAATTAAAAGGAAATGTTAGGAGAGTAATCTAGAAAAACAATTCTAGAAACTTAGTGATCTTAGTCAAAAATTCCTTCCTGTGTAGTCTCTGACCCTGCATATTTTGTATGTGCATATTTTCTCATTGTACTCCTAGAGTAAAAGTATCAATCCCAGTGTGTGTCCAGAGGTTTGGTGAAGGACTACACTGCTTACATGGGGACATTAATCCACCTCCAGGCCCCATCTCTTTTTAATCCATGAGATTATCATCTTAAAGAATGTCCTACAAATTTTTAAAAGATGTGTTATTTAAAATAAAAAGTAACCTTCTGAAGTGTTGTGGAGATATCCAGTAACACTGTTACTCTCTCAATAACAGAGTTTTGTGTGATCGCTGATTAATCACATGTCACTTAGGCCTGGTACCTAATATTTTTCATCCTAGGTATATAGGCTAGGGGGAATCAAGCACCTGGTTGACCTTTTGGACCACAGAGTTTTGGAAGTTCAGAAGAATGCTTGTGGTGCCCTCCGAAACCTTGTTTTTGGCAAATCTACAGATGAGAATAAAATAGCAATGAAGAATGTTGGTGGGATACCTGCCTTGTTGCGATTGTTAAGAAAATCTATTGATGCAGAAGTAAGGGAGCTTGTTACAGGTAGGTATAGAGTGATCTTTTCCTAGAGGAAATATCAAAAACATACTAGACTGTGTTCTCTTATAGTGTCATTGTGAAGGAGTTGGAGGCTCTAGGTGATAGGTGATGAGATATATATAGATAGGTATAGATAGATAAATAATCAATGCCTGATATAAACATGATATAGATAGATAGATAAATAATCAATGCCTGATATAAACATGATATAGATAGATTGCTCGCAACTCTGAAGAAGGCTGTATATAAATTAATGATTCAGAAGGCATTTGCAGTGCTCTGTTCATATCAGTTATTGTACTTACTAATGCATAAGTATCAGTTAACAGATGTCTTGTTCATGGAGGACTGAATATATCAATTTTTATTATGTATTCCATAGTAAATCTACTTGTTTTAAATAGACTAGCTCTCCTTTAGTATGAAAATAAAATATACTTAATGAATTGGCCATCTTCCATAGTTCATCCAGTGTCTGAGGGCCTGTTTGCTTCCCACTCACTTTGCTGGGCCCCTGAAATAATAAAAGTAAATAAAGCTCAGGCCCTGTCTGCGAGAAGCACTCAGCCTGGGGAGGATCACAAGTGGTTCTGTGGTTGTTAGGGAAATGTTGCAAGTGCTATGACTCAAAGGAGGTCACGTTGGGAACACTGAGCATGGGTAGGAAAGATCTCTGGATGATAGGGCCAGCAGCTACATCCCAGAGTACATGAGGCTGAGGTAGAGGAACCATCCCACAAGAGAATGAGTTAATGGTAGTGTTATTTATACTAGAGAATTCAGAGAAAACACTTAAGTATTCATTGACAGAATGGTTAAATAAATTGCAGTACCCTCACATAGAGAAACCACACATGAGTAAATAAGTGTTTTAGAGCTACATATAACAGCACAGATAAATCTTGAGAAATATTTGCAGATAACTGCAGCACAACACTGTTTGTATAAAGTTTTTTAATATGTAGATTGAGACTATCAATTACTTTTGGATATATGCACACACAGTAAAGTTAAAATTTCTAATTAGAATGATAAAAATAGATTCAGGAAAGTACTTACCTCTGTGAAGGAGGAGAAGAGAAAATGGTACCAAGGAATGTATTCTAGCTCTGTTTTTTTTTTTAGAGAAATCAGAAACAAGGCACAAAGCTAGATGGTGGATACCTAGATGTTTATTTCATATTTACTGTGCTATTTTTCACGCTTGAGATATTTAATTTCACATTTTAACAGCATTTCTTTGAAATTAATACCTTTCCCCATTGAGTTCCACTATGAAATGAGAATTAGAAGTTTTGTCAGAAATAATTCAGTAACATTTGGGAACGTACCAAACCATCATGCATCTAATATCTAAGGGAAATCAGATTTCTCATAAGATAAAATATTTGAAATATAACATTAATATCTCCTTGCACTCCAAATAAGGTAGAAAATTTACATACTAAAGTAAAATACACTTTACCTCTAATCTTAAACTTTGAAATGGACTGCCCATCTTTATGTATTTCTATGTTAATGCACTAATACTCACAAAAAATATATTGGCTTATTAGTATATATACTCCCTTTGAAAGGCTTGTGAAGTATTTACCTCCTTAAGCCAAAAAATGAATTATTTACATATTCATGTGTGTTTATAGAATGAAAATTAAAACAAGCTATATAGAATTAAGAAAAAAGAACACAGTGGTGTCCATCCTAGACATCAACACAGTCACTTGTTATTATGCCAGAAATTGACTGAAGCTGCCTGGTTAGGGAGGCATAAAGGAGATGTGTTATTTGTAGTATGTGAATGCTGCAGATGTCAGAGACTTTTGGCAAGAGCCATGACTCAATAGAGGTCATGTTCGGACCACAGATGATCGATCAGTTGGAAAGTTCCCTGCACAATAGAAAACCTAAGTTGATCTACAAAGGGAAGAAGAGGCATTAGCTGAGCAAATAGGTAGGGTTCTTTCCTTGTTTGTTGTTTCTTTTCCTATCACTTTGAACTTATTGTATAGTGCCCCAATGTCTTCCCATAGTAACACACTTTGGCTGCCAGCAAATATGTATCTCCACGGAGATCAGCAGTGCACCCAGGTCAACCTGACATTCGAAGCATAGCTTCTACTCTCATTTGTTCTCCTTGGTTCACTAGTCAGATATTTCATGGCTTGTCTTTATATTCCTGATATGCAGCTTTTTTCTGTTCTTTCTCATGATTCCTCACAGAAGAAATCAAATTTTCCTGGATTTTTGTTTCTGACTTTTTCCTTGGCAGAAACCATTACATTGCCTTTCCTGAGCTGACCTCAAGAAATTTGTAGGATTTAGCAGAAAAGTACATGAAAGTTGGTAATCTTTTGGTTTTTTCCTCTGGAGCTTTTAGACATTAAGAAGCATTTTTTGGCTGTACTTATAGAATAGATAGAAGAAATTAAGAATTTCTTTATAACCATATAGTTTTGTCACTAATAATGTATTTTGATGTGTGGACTGATTGTTAAGGAGATGTTCTTTCCAAAACATTGGAATGGGAGTGGCAAATCTGTAAACACATCACTCAGCTGCCATATGTAAAGAAGTTGGACCAGAGGACTTCAGAAGTGCGTTCATTTCCTGATCCTAAATTCTGTTTCTCTGAGCTTGATTTCTATATAAACATTATCTAGCTAAGATGAAAACACCAAATCACAATATAAATCTGGAAGAGTTTCTATGTTGGGGCAGGAGGAATGCACACTGTATGTATGTATACATATATTTATAATACAAATTTTATGGAGATGAAACATTTATTCACATTTTTCAGTCCTAATATTTGGTAGTACTAATCTTAACTGATGTTCAGAAATATATTAAGAATAAGTGATCCCTGATATGTTTTAAAGCATGAAAACATCATCAGATCCTTGAGCCCTTCTTTCATTAACTTTTCAAGTCAAATATTCAAAAGCTCATAACTCCTTAAATTATAGAATCAATTTTCCATTTTCATACACGAGTTCATAATACTTCCACTGCATTCACCCTCCTACATCCTTTCCTTAAATGAGACATGTTGAAACTGTTCCAGGAATGAGGGGAGACAAGATAGAGAATTGTGGAGGGAGTGAATTCAACTATGATACATGGTAAGAACTTTTGTAAATGTCCCAGTGTATCCCCAGTACAACAATAAATGATAATAAAAAATGAAATTTTAAAAAATTATAGAATCACAATGTTGAAAGGGACCTCAAATTTCATTTTGTCCAATTAGCCATGCAATGCATGAATCCTCTGTACTGCCTCCATACAAGCACCCATTGTGAATTTGAATCCACTACTGCATGGAGCTTGTTACTTGAACAGGATGGTTTGTCCAGAAAGCAATAAGACATTTGTTAAGATTTAAGAAAGATTTGAGATTTAAGGAAGACAAACTCCTGGGAGCTCATTTTTCCCAGGAATGGCCTATAAAAAGCCCTAGATCCAGTCACCTGGACCCTTTTAACTAAGAAAATGAACTCCAGTGTGAACTGACCTCAGTAAAACACATGTGTCCATCCCAAACACGGACAGCACTGTGCTATGGGACTATGTTATGCAGCAGTCCCCATCAGCTGCCTATGTCTTATAAAATACCCCCGAAAATAAGACATTATTCTTCCAAATTTCAATATTCTGCCAGTGTCATCCACAAATACCATGGCCCTGGCCAGTCTTGCATAATACTTGGTCTTTGTACATGTGCTCTAAAAGTTCTTCTGTGAAAATTGTAGTCAGCTTAGAATCAGTGTTTAACTACCGTGAACTGTTATACTCAAAATATTATACAAGTTGAAGAAATTACTATTCCCTTGAAACTAGGCATTCTATTCATAATATTAAGAAATTCAGCCCAGTTATTAATCCAAAGTCTTTTTCCCCCTTGTTCACTTTGTTTCAATTTGGCAGTTTTTACTGTATTTAGGTGAATAAATTTTAGCTATTCTTCTTTAAAAGATGTCTTACCTTTGCTTTAACTGTAGTAACTGCCCAGGGCTTATATTTTTGGCCACATCTTCATTTTCAAGGGGAAAAAGATACTTTTTGCCAAACTTATTTTCCATAGACAGTATGGCTGTCATTGTTAATTAAAATGGTTCTGTAACATGATTTTTGTGTTGTCTTCATTGTTTGTTGAACATTTTCCAGTGTGAAACCTAATGAGCTTTTCTTATAGCAATTGGTGATGTAAGTGGGTGCTTTGACTGATTTTTTTTGTTATTATTCCAAAGGGACTTTTTGCCATTATTGTGCTTAAACTTGAAAGCTACACGAAATGTTTCCCAGTCATGTTATAAAATGAATGCCTGCTAAGGCCACAAACTATGGATTAAAAGTGAGAACATCTTGCCATTAAAAAAGATATATTTGGCTCACTTGCTCAAGATTATTAGTCTATCTAAGCTAGGAAAAACAAGTTTCTAGTTATTAAACATCCTGAAAGCTTCATCTTTTAAAACTATACAAATTATAGATAACTGCACAGAATCTGAATCCTGCTTTTTAATATGCCAGATGTCCAAAAACTATCACTGTTATTTCTCCCTAATAATGGTAGTGTTAAATACCAAAAAGTAACCCTAGTCTTTAATAATAATAGACATTGTTCATATAACTTCTGTATTCATTCCATCTAGTTTAGCAAGTGATTATTCATCCATATGGCTAAGTAAAATATTTCTGTACTGCTTATTTTGAAATTTTGAATGCCAGCAAGAGATTTCAGATACCATGTAGAACATGAAATTGGGCATATTTCATGTTCCTTCCCAATGATTATCTCCATAATTCTAATTAGGTGATAAACTAGTAAGAAAATGATAGTTGTGTACTAAGGAAGAGTAGATAAACCAGGCAAAGGTTTAGCAACAATAGGACCTTCTGGCAACAGTTGGTATTACACAGCGTGAAGAGTAGATGCTTAGTGGCCACATCACAGTAGGAAGCAATGTACATGTCCTCTTGACCTAGTTAATGTGCCT